TTTTTTTTTTTTTTTTTTTTTTTTAAATAAAGATATTGTCCCTGCAATCCTTACAATGGATAATGTACTCACAGGTGTCTTAATGACAAAAAGAAGGTCTGAAACAAATGGTTTTAAAAATAAAACGATGTTGTTGATTTGATAAAAAGTCAACAATAAAATACGTTTTTTAATTTACTCCTCCCTTGGAGCATCTTATTTCAGGTGTAAACATACATTTCTTAAATGAAATTAAATCCTCTCATTGTAACATAATACAGTGAGAAGCTGAAGCGTATTCAGATCACTTTTCTATTGCAAACATAAAAAGCTCATGCAACTACTGGGGTACTGATTAATTGCTACAACAGTTTCACCAAACCAAAGTGAACTGTATTTTCTTGTATAACACACACCCTGGAAAAAATATGCTCCTTGCTTTTGAAAAGATCTTTCTTTGTAGTAAGTATCCAACCAAATAGCAGCAGATGGAGCGCAAAGCCTGCTCATTACTCTGCTCTGAGTCATGCAGATTTTGTTTTTGCTTTTACTCATAACGAGAAGAAATGGTATTGCATATCATGCACATGGCTATTTCAAGCAGCTGTGTTTTGGGAGGTGGGGGGAGGGAGGTGTGTATTGTACGCAAAAAAATTTGGCATGTGCAAGTGACTTCTAACATCTCACCTTATAAAACTCATCACGTTTGATCTTTTCAACAGGAAGAGGCTTGCCATTGTGAAAGTTGGCGAGAATCAGGGCAATAGTTGTGAGAGTTTTGCCCTAGATAACAAGAAATAAGAAGGAAAATATTTTTCCACAGATAAATCAAACTGTACTGAAATACACTAAAGCACTAAGTTGAGTTACCAAACCCATATCATCAGCCAGTATTCCTCCAAGAACATTTTCTGGTCTCTCCTTTTCAGCAAAATTTGTAAGTGTATTATAAAAGAAGTTGTTTCTTTCTTCCCAAAATGGTGGCAGCTCCTTATTGTTCTCACGCAAAATCATCCAAGCTAAAGCTTGTTTTTGGTGTGGCAGTAACTGTGTTCCAATAACCTAAAAATTAAAAATCCAAGTTATACATTTCTCTGTGCTAAAACTATCCCTTTAGGAAGGGAGAAAAATCATATAATCTGATTAACTGCTCTCTTAATATTCAAATTTTAAATTAACTGAGCTGTTCTACACACCATAGTCTATGACACTGCTAAACTTTATAAATATTACATACAAGCTTTACACATAAAGACTTGCTTTTCTGGAAAAAAAAATTATGCAGCATTTTAAGAAACAAGTACCTCTGGTCCTTGGATTTCACGCGTTTTATCATCTTCTTTCAAATCATCAAATAGCTTGTCAAACTCGCTTTTAAGCTGCAGTTCATAAATATAAAAGCTGCAATTAAATTAAACTCTACATCAAATGGAGCATGGTCAAGATAACTAAAGCATCCTGTCATGGCTCCAGAGGTATAGGCTCACGCCTCACTTCGCACTTAAGCAAAAGGCCACCTCCAATTGACCTAGCTCTAAGTACCTACTCATCTTTCACACAAGTCAAAGACAAATACTGTCACATCATTCTTCTGAGGGCTGCTGGATACATAACCTAGCATGCTTTACACCCTTATTAGCCCAATGTATGATGAACCTCTGACATTTTTCTACATGAAATACTTGACAGCATAACTGATGTCAGCCATATAGCATTTTATGACTTCTCAGTGACTAGATTCTGCCCATATAGAAGTGTTAGGTGTAAACATTAATAGTTACTGCTATTGGGAAGATACATTCAGGTGCTGCGACAGACTGAAGAAAAAGAAGTTGCAGCCTGAAAATTAAGTGGTAAGTGAATTGTCATATTCAGACCAACTCAGCACTAAAAGCATATTAAAATACAACAAAGTATGCTCACACAGCTAAGTGGGGAAGAACATTCACAGGGCTGCCTATACCTGCCCGAATTTACAGCCAAGGGTACAGGGTGACATTCATCTGATGTCTGTAAAGCTCACATTCATTCTCTAGCTCAAGATAAGGCTTTTCATGCTTTGACAACTTAAAGAGACCATGGGGGAAAATGTAAAAACCTTATCAAGATTTTACTATTGAACACCTGAGATTCTATGTATTCTTAAATGTATTAAAGTTTTGATTTATTTGCCAGTATCTTGTGTTCAGTTAGTTCTACTGGCTCTGCACCCAGCAGTGGGGTAGATGGGGAGAAAAGAAGTCATACAGATTAGTAAAAGGGGCCTAGGGAAGCCGTAGGAGCCTAATCTAGTCTCAATTCAGAAAGAAAAAAAAAAAAAAAAAACACACCTCACTTTGGACTT